AATTTAATTTAATAAGACCACAAGTGCTCTCTAAAACATTTATTTTAATACATTTTAATTTTCAAGTTTGACATTTCAGGTTGATTTTTGGTCACTACTTGGTGGGACATATTTTAAAAATTAAATGTACAATGTTATTTCATGTATTGTTTTAATAAATTTACATATTTAACAATCTTCAAAAAGATTTCCTTTTTTTTATTTAATGTGTAAGTAAAAAATTCAGCTTTATTTTGAAATTGAAGAGCATTCTATTCTAATTTCAATTGGAAAATTGGTACAGATTTCCTTCTGAATAAATCTCGCCTTAACTGTATCGCTAAACTGTCAGATGTTTTTATTTACAGGTAGCCTGAACCAGCAGATCTGGGGGAAGAGTTACCCGTCCTGTAATGGTGCCCGGCAGTCTCCCGTGGACATCAATGAGATGTTTACCCAAGTCAGGATGCAGTTCCAGAACCTACAGCTAGAGGGCTGGCACATACCGACTTCAGAGTCTACAACCATCCAGAACAACGGGAAGACGGGTATTTTAAATTGGTCTATTTTCATATGCTTGGAAATCCCAAACTAAACTTTGGTTTTAGAGGAATCTTAAAAAAAAAATCTGTCAGATAGAGCCCAGAGTCTCTTTAGCTCAAAATGTCTTGTTTTTTTTTCTGTAGGAGCATAAAAACAGTTCCTACAGGAGTATTTGGACGATGGTTCTGTAAAGCAGGGCTTGGTAATCCCATACTGTGGAGAGATTAAGTTTTATAGCCCCTCACCCTCCAATAAAGAGAGGAAAAATTATTCATTATAACAATGAACTCCCAGGTTAATGACAGTCTCAGCTGTAAGGAAAGAGACAAAGACACAGAAAAGAAAGAGACTATGCAACTGAGGGAAGATCAAAGAGGGAGGCGGCAACAACTGGGAGATCTTGTAGTGAAACAGAAAATATCAGTGGTGAGGGGCAAACCGAGTGTGGAGCAATGACAATGTGAAGAGATGTGAGGTGATGGCTGAATTGAAAAACAGATGAAAGCTGTCTGAGCTACACCATCCTCCCCATCTCTCCAATACTTGCACTGTCTCTGTGGGCAATGTATGTTAACAATTAGAAACGGCTCAAAAGTACAATAAGTACAAGTCATAAGTACAAGTCAAGTCGGGACAAGACTCGGCGGTACATCTACACCTTATGTTACAAAGGACATTCTTTTGAGGGCCAGAATGTTCACATTATGGACAAAGAAAATAGATGGTTTGAGAGGGGTGTGAAGGAAGCCATCTATGTTAAGAAAGAAAAACTAATCACAAACAAAAGGGGTGGACTCAGGTTCCAGTTTTCAAAAACCTACAATGCTGCAATTGAGTTAATACCTTCTTGCTATCATTGCAGCCCCTATACACGAGAGAAGAGGACCTCCTCTATTCAGCAAGGCCAACAATTCCCTTTAACGACCCCTCCTTTCAGACATTTAGATGGGTATGGCGCTTTGCAGGCTAACAAGAGAAGCCAAATAACCCCCCCTCCAAAGGGGTGGACCCTTTCAAAAAACCTCAAACTCAACGTTATTCCTGACATTTTGAATAGAAAAAGCTTCCTGGATGGGAAGCAAAACGTCTTCAACTTGAAAACATTTAGATGGGGGGGTTCAAACAGGGCTGTGTTGCAAGTTTAGACTATTTGTTGTATACCAAGCGAGGAAGTGTCTTTGAAAGAGGGGAGTGTTGTGTGTTGACTGGAACATTCCTCAATGTGTTATGTTGCTTATCTGTTATCTGTCAAATTGAAAAAAGTCCCTCTTTTTCTTTCTGCTCCTGCCATTCAAAAAGTCTGCGCACGCCAATGTTATGATTATGCATTACATGTGTGCCCTTTTTGCTGAATTTTTAATTCATATTGGGGCTCAATGCATTGATCAATATCACTTTGATTTAGCGTCTTGGTAGTTAGTTTCATAGACCATGTTGTGTTCTTTAATCAAAACAATCAAGGGTGGAGATAAACAAAGAGTTCATTCCTTTCTAATGTTTCACTGTTTCTGTTTTTTTTACATATCCAAGTGTCCATCAATATAAATGGAGACTTCTATGTAACTGGAGGAGGCCTGAGCTCCAGGTTTCTTGTATCGAGGCTTAGCTTCCATTGGGGGCGCTGCAATGCATCATCAGCTGGGTCTGAACACAGCCTCAACGGGATGAAATATCCTCTGGAAGTAAGTGTCACCAATGTGCTATCTATCCTCTTTCCTAACATAAAGCGAAAATGACATTTATCCTGGCTGTTTCTCAGATGCAGATCTACTGCTACAATCCCAATGAGTTTCAAAGTTTAGATGATGCAATTGAGAAAGGAGGAAGAGTTGCTGCCTTGGCTGTTCTCTTTGAGGTGAGACGACCTGACCATGGAACCATCTTTACCTATGTTTGGCTTTAAATACGGCAACTGTACAATTTTCCTTTCATTTGCAGGTAAGCCAGGAGGACAATGAGAACTTCAGTCCTATTGTAGAAGCCATCAGTGGTGTGAGCAGATTTGGTAGGTTACTGCATGAGAACTCTAACTGAGCGATATGGTAGATAATAATAATTGAGTTTAGCTGAGGATTTAAGTCCAACTTAGCCACCAAAAAACACAAATTTCAGAATTGACTTACACTCGAGCTCTAAGGTCTCGATTCCCAAAACTCTCATACCACCTATATGTCCTATAGACCACTTCCTTACAGTTATACATGCTGCTTTTAAATAGTGTTGCACTGATACCGATACCCGTATCGTAGGTAGGCAATAAAAGGTTCTACTGGATTCACTTTTTATTCGTCTTTTTCCTGCTTTACAAACATAGGCAGCAGCTTGACAAAGCCATGATGGCAATTATTTTACATCCAAGTAGTTTTAGCAAGATGTAGATTATTACACTGACGGTCTGATTTTTAGAGATTCCTAATAAAAGACACTAAATTGCACATTTGGGTGATCTATAAAGATTGGTGCGCGAATATTTTCCCATTTGATAAAAGGATCAGATTGAATGTTCTGCTGGTAGTTTGATAGTAGACATAAAAGAAAGATGAAGTTCTAAGCCATTTAAGTGGGGTAATAATAATGATAAAAATAATTCAAAGAAATAAAGTGATGAAAATAAAGTTAAATACAAAAAATAAAATCTTGAAATTAGATTATTTCATTTGCTGACAGAAAAAGAATGTGCATTTCAATAAATGACGTGAAAACCTGGAACAAATGTAGTGTTGACTTAAAGCAATAGCCAAACATTAAACAGTTTAGGAAAAGTGGTTTTCTTAAAAAACAAGGGTGGTGGACATCATTTTGTTCTCTTAATCTCTGTAGATGGCTGTATAAACACTTATGCAATTAATAATAATTATTTGAATGGAGATGCTTGTAGTCACTTATTTGTATACAGTATATATATATTGATATGTTCATAAATGTACTTATTTGTTCACTTAATGGACTTTTTGGAGCAGTATGGACTCATAAATTAAACAGGAATCAGCAATATTGCTGATATCGGGGACTATTTGAAGGTGAACGGTATGAATAAATATGTTTTACACCTTGATACCCTTTTCAAAAGCAACAAATTACTGTATGCACTTAATAATGATACATGCCGTTAATGGTGTAGATGCTTATCAAATTTGTATTTTTTAAAATTATATTTTTACTGGTTTGTCTGAAGAAATTCATTCATTATAAAAAAAAATGCCTCAATATCTAAAATTCTTAGATTTTCCCTTTAGTTATATTTGTATATTTTCATTGTTATTTTGGGCTGGATTGCATAGACATTTTCTTTTCAATAATAATACATTACCATTGGGATTTCTGACATTCCAAATATGTTTGTTATGCGCACAAAACCTCTTTTCATCTATTGCCGTTGAACCAATAGCTCCTTTCTGGCAACAATCACTGCAGATATGGTGCACGTCAGTTTGCACCTCACTTTCTGAAGTACTAAAAAAAAAGATGCCCAAAAATGCTTCTGCAGTCGAGTTTTTTCAAATGGTAAATCTTTAGATTTGCATGAATTTGCACAGATTTGTAATTAGAGTATCGATTTATGGCACACAAGCAAAATAGGTTTGCAAACACTGTCTAATGAAGCACAAACACTGATCACTTTGAAGATCACGCCCTGGTTGTTCAAATAAGGAATTTACACACATATGTATACATATATACATGTATATATGTATACATATTTACACACACATGTATGCATATATACATTTGTTTCATATCTGTCCGGGATAATGATTTATATTATGATCAAAAATAACTGTGCATTAAGCAGCCCATACAGCTGAATGGTGAGACTGTGCTAATTTCTTTCAGGTAAAAGTGGATCAGTGGGGGCTTTCACCCTGAGGTCCCTGCTGCCCAACATCACTGATAAGTTCTACATCTATAACGGCTCGCTGACCACTCCTCCCTGCTCTGAATCTGTGGAATGGATCGTCTTTAAACACACCGTGGCCATATCAGATGCTCAGGTTAGTCACTCACAAATGTCTCTGGGGTCTCTGACTGTTTTTATGATTCGATTTTTGTTCCTATATTGTAAAGTTTGCTGCCCAAAATGGCAATACATGGGTTAAAAAAATGAGATAGGATTTAGCAAAAAGAAGTGACCCAGAGCTGACCATAGCAGTTTATACTCATAATGGATAATGCTTTATATGCTCTATGGCAAGCGATGAGGAAAATATTTTTTATCCATAACCAGTTTAAAGGTACTATAAGGAAAACGGAGTCATGGCTCAGATAAATCATATCATGCAGCAGGATTATTAAGGGCTCATATATATTATCTACAAAAGTCGGCTATTTCAAAAAAAGCATCTGATCAACTAGTGAATATAATACAAAGTAATACCTTTAAATAACATTCTGAATTTTTGTGAAATATGACATTTTTGTGGGTCTTTATCATCATGATGAGTGGAAAAACCATTAAACCATGTTTAAATACTTTCATTAATAATTTTTGAAGGGTAAGTTATTTTTCATAAATGACCTTTAAAAAGCGTGGATGATAAGTTATTATAAATAAGGTTTTGATTCTGTTTGACCCGCTACACATAATATTGAATTGGATTGACTCATCCATCCTGTGAACATACAAAGGATTAAAAAACATCTTATGGTTTATCAGTCAGAAGGATATAACAATGTCCAAAGGGTTACATGTATGTATAAACACACATTGTATACAATTAAATGTTTAAATTAATTATGTTATTAATTATTAATAGGAAAATATTCAATAAAAAAAAGTATATATAGAATACCAAATATTATATAAAATAGTATTTTGGCATAGCATATCTTGTCATTTGTTAAACTGTCATTTATTTACTTCAAGATTTGTTTATCATTGATATGTTATTATTTCAGTATTTATTTTGACATATATGTATTATCTATCTATCGATCAATCGATTGAAAGAAAAGGAAGATAGAAGCACAACTTCTTTCCTTCAGCTAAACAGCTCCAAGACTCAAGCCATATTAGTCGGCACTCCCCACCAGGTTCGGTCATCTGACATCACCAGCATCACCTTCTCTGGACAAACTTCCCCTTTCAACATCTTCTACTAACCTTGGTGTTAAAATGGACTCTGATTTGACCTTTGAGGCTCACATCAAACACCTCTGCAAGACCTCCTTCTTCCACCTCAGAAACATCGCCAAACTTCGTCCCACACTCACTCCTGCAGATGCAGAAAAGCTTTGCCACGCTTTTGTCTCGTCCATACTGGACTACTGCAATGCACTCCTCATCGGAATCCCTGAGAAAAGCCTTAAAAGGCTGCAATACATGCAAAACAGCACTGCTGAGATCCTGATGATGGTGCTCAGACATGACCATATCACCCCCTTCCTCAAATCACTTCACTGGCTTCCTGTCGCACTCAGAATTGATTAGAAGGTCTCCCTCCTTACCCACCAGTGCATCCATGGTGATGCCCCACCATACCTTAAGGAACTGCTCACCCCACAGACCTCAACACGTAACCTCCGATCTACTGCAACATATCTGCTGAAACATCCAAGAACGAAGCTTCATACAATGGGAGATCAGGCTTTCTGTTCAGCTGCTCCCAGGCTGTCGAACGCTCTCCCACAGACTGTGAATGCTTTTAAATGTAGTCTTAAAACCCACCTTTTTAGGAGAGCTTTTAATTGAACTCTTCCCCCTTTTTTTATTGTCTTTGATTATTTTATCCTTTCTTTTACTTTTTATTTCTCATGCTCTCCATGTATTTTTATTTAGCACTTACCTATTTTACTATGTAGCACTTTGGGATTTGTTTAAATATAAAGTGCATTACAAGTCCAAAGTATTATTATTATATTATTATTATTCTGTTTCTGGAGAACTTTTCTCAGATACTTAACAGCTTTTAGCAAGCGTACATTTTACTTTAATTTAAAAAAGGACATAAACTCATACAAAGACTTGCGAAACAGAAGCAGGGCAATATAACCTGGCACAGTTTCTGCATAAAACAAAGCTGCAGTTGTATGAAAACACACAGAAAGAAAATATCCTTGTGTTTCAGTTTGTTTTGTCCTTTTCCCAAATAAATCAAGAACTACTTGTTTTTCATTTCTAGTTTCAAATAAGAAAATCCAATTACCAAAACTTGAACCGACGCTTCATGTTAGCTGATGTTGATTCCTTTGAAAAACACCCAAATCATTGTTGTGGGATTTTAACTTGCTCCTTGTTTCTGACAAGCTGTCTTTAAATTAAAAAGACAACATATTAATCTGATGGCTTCAGTCATCATACCCTCACAGAACGGCCTGGAATTTGGTTGCTTTTGCCTCATTTTGTCACGGTGGGGGGAGAAAATTGTGCATCCAGGATGTGTGAGGTCTCCCAGGAGGCTGCGCAGTGGTTGTGCATCGATGCAGAATAATGCGGTGAAAACACTGGTTTGTAGTTTGGATTATTTTTGTCCACATGGGATTGAAGCAGAAAGGCAAAACATGACACAGCCACACTCACGCTAACCAAAAATAGAGCTGCCTCCTTTTTTCTCAGCATTTTGGCAGCAGAGTGGAAAACGAGGCACAGGCAGCGACACATGTTTGCCTAATTCTCTCCTCAATCTGACTTTTGTTTCTTTGTATTTCTGTGTCTCTCATCAGCTGGAGGTTTTTTGTGATGTGATGACCATGGAGCAGGCCGGATACGTGGTGCTCGCCGATTACCTGCAGAACAACTTCAGGGAGCAGCAGCAGTTTATGGGTCAGGTCTTTGCCTCCTACACAGGAGAGGAGGATGTTCCCACACCCAGTACGTCATTCCCCGATCCTTAAACCGTCTCCAAACAACAATGTGATTCTTTTGTCCCAGTAAAGATCTAATCCAGTTAGAGTAGAGGACCCCATAGGGGGGAAGGAGCTTGTGTTAATTCAGATTACACAGCGTCAAACACAGACTTTGTTTTTCATCCTCGTCTTAATATTCTACAGTGAATTTTGATCCATTATTATTGCAAACTTCACAAAACAATTTTGCAAATCGAAATCTCAAAACAAAAGTACAGATCTGCCACATCCAACATGGCGGACGCTCTAACTAGACTCTTGCACTCTGCACATAAGAACAATATATCACAATAATAAATATGCCAGTTTTTCTCTAACCATTTGTTTAACTTCCATGCTGCATGAAGCATAACGCATATATTATATATGATTTTAATCTGTTATGCCCTTTTAAGGAGCATCGTGGGTTAAATAGCTTAACATAGTTAGCATGCTGGCCCTCTAAATGATTTATTGGTTTGCAGATCAGAAGCAACTCAGCGTCAACTAGGAAACTGCTTTCAGCTGACAGCCATTTAAACTCCCAATAGAAGCAGAATGTTAAGATTCTGTTGCATAAATATCAGCCCTTATGAGCCTACAGAGGAGTATGTCGAGCTTTTTACCATTTTTAGAGTAGAATGGACTACTGCTGCATCTAAATCTTTGTTCCCCCATGGTCGGTCTCTTCTTGATTATATAAAGAAAGTTACCCGACGCTCTGCAGTTTCATAGTCAGAACCAAAGAGCATCTTCAGAGCTGCCAGGAAGCGTCACTTTGTAGTGCAGTGGCTCGGCTCCTCTCAGACTAGGCAATTTATTTTGCAGCTTTTTGAAATTAAAATAAAGTATTCAGAAATTCATAAGAGGGTAATTTTGTATCTTGCATATGTGCACGTGCAGCGCCCACTCAGTGTCACATTTCCTCTGAAACTGGGCTTTTAAACAGAATTCATTAATTTTCCTCAATTGGTTTAACCTCAAATTAACTCCAAACACATTACTTGTATGTAGACGCTTTTCCTGATCCTGTTGTTTTTTGCACTTTTAGAGAACTCAATGTTTTGCTCACACAAGTGTTTAAGATCATTTCTTTTCATTTGTGTTTTTTTTTTCCAGCGTGCAGCTCAGAGCCACAAAACGTCCAGGCTGACGCTCAGAACGACACCACCATCGTGGTGACGTGGGAGCGTCCCCGCGCGGTTTTCGACACCACCATCGACTGGTATACCGTCACCTACGAGAGGCTGCAGGGCAGAGATCAGATCAAACAGGAGTACAGGACAGATGGAGACCAAGATGTGGTAGGAGTAACGGTTGTATCAAAGTGGGGGAGGGCTTCAATTATGACCGCATGCAATTCCAGCTAATGTTTTAGCACCATTATCTCCAGGCCTCACAGGTACATTTGACGCATCAATGGATAATTGGTAAAAATCCAGTCATTTTTCTCTCTCCTGCGCCGAGTAGGAGTATAAAATAAGTAGTAAACCACCCTGTAAAGATTCAAAGAACCTAAAGAGTGCATTAGTAGTACACACTTTACTATTTTACTATTCTCAGCAGCAAGCATTGGGTACCAATTCACGTGCATACACAGGCAGGCAAGGAACAGAAACCTTGTTCTGTGTTTGATTAATAAATAAGTTATATGCTTGTGCGCCCCCTTCCTTATGCCACCCTGAGAAACTGCCAGAATGGTGAATATTGACAATAAATCAGAATCCATGACCAGCAGGAGTGTATTACCATTGGTCTCACACAAAGTTTCTTTTCTAGTGTACGACAATGTTTTTTTTCCCAGCATGATACTGCCACTACCATGTAATAGTTATGATTATTAATTTAAGATTGCCTACTAATGGGGAAAAAAACGTTTGTTAAAAGCAATAAAGGGATCTTTTACCTTGTTAAAATGAATAAATATTTATGTAGATAATGCTGATATTTGAGCTAGGTTAAAGAAAAACAACTTTTATAGCCTCATAAGACAAAACTTGTTCAAGATTTTCAAAAGGACCTTTGATCAAAATGGTTTGGATCCACTGATGGCTTGTTTTTTAAACCCGTCTGCTGATATGTAGCAAAATGGCTAAACAGTAATTATTCCTTTTAAAAAGGATTTGCATTTTTACAAAAAAATTTAAATGATGGTGGTTGAAAATAGGGCTGCAAGTAACATTTATTCTGCTTTATCTGTTGATTCTTTTTTGATTAATTGATTAAATTAATAATCAGACAGCAAAAAGTCGTCAAAGAATTTTTTTTTTTTTACAGAAATAAACCAGGGGGAAACTAAAACCTTTTCATTTGAGGAGTTCTGGATAGAGAATATTGACAGAAAAAATGTTAAATGCAAAACATTTTCATTTCTTTTTACAATTTTGATATAATTATTGTTCCAAGCGGGTTGCTCTCTCTGCTAAAAGCATGTTTTAGAGTCTCTATACTCCAGGTAACAATTAATCTATTACTAAATTAGTTGACAATTGTTGAAATAATAAATAAATCACCTTTAATCCAATTAATTGTTTCAGCCCTAATTAAAAAGCATATTTCACCATCTAGACCCTTCAGGTCATGTCTTCACAGAGCTCCTCTCTCAGTGATCACAGGACACCAGGAGGCAGCTTGGTTTCAATGCTCCTCGGCTCTGGAAGCCTGAGCAGAAACTGCTGCTGTTTACAGCAGCTTTCACCATAAAAACAAACATTTTCATTTCTATCATGTCTTGGTTTTTCATTTGCTTCAATTTTTGTCACCTTAACCACTTTTATCTTTGTTGTTCTTCCTGTGAAGTACTTGAAATTACCCTTGAATAGAAAAAATATGCCATAGCGCTACCTTTAAGTGTTTTCCATGAAAAGCTCTTCTGGGGAAGAAACGTCTTTAATCTGCTATATAGTAAAAACAGCCAGGAGAAAGATTCTGCAAACCGTAATTATGTCCCAAAGGGATTTCATCTGATATCAGCCCAAAAAAAAAAAAGAATGGTTAGATTTTATCAGCCCACATTTAAAATCTCAGATATAAGCACAGTGAGAGAAGTACATCCTCTATGGGGTAAATCTTGTTCCAATGTTTTTGAAAAAAAAAAACTATTTGTGTAAATGGAAATATGACCAAAAAAATGCAATCCAGATATAAAACCTACAAAAAAAAAAATCACAAATTTATTTTTCTTTTTATATATTTTTTTCTTTTTTCAAACTTTGTTTTTCTTTACAGATTTTTTTCACCTTGTTTCACAAATTGCATTTATTTCAGATTTCGTTTAACAGGAAACATTTGAAAATTCAATCCTTTTTTTTTTTATTATTATGCTGCACAGTGGTGCAGTGGGTAGCACTGCTGCCTTGCAGCAATAGGGCTCTGGGTTCGATTCCCGACCCAGGATCTTTCAACATGGAGTTTGCATGTTCTCCCCAGGCATGCATTGGTTTTCTCTGGGTACTCCGGCTTCCTCCCACAGTCCAAAAACATGACTGTTAGGTTATTTGGCTTCTCTAAATTCTCCTTAGGTGCGTGTGAATGGTTGTTTGTCCTGTTTGTCTCTTTGTTGCCCTGCGATTGACTGGCGACCTGTCCAGGGTGAACCCTGCGCCTCACCCATAGACAGCTGGAGATAGACACCAGCGCCCCTCGTGACCCCAGCAGGGATAACTGTGACATAAAATGGATGGATATATACACACATACATAAAAGAGAAATAAATCTTGAATTAAATGTTTACAAAATGGCTGAAAAATGACAAAATAAGCAAAAAATAATAGTTGTAATTAATGCCAATATAAACCGAAACAAGGCACATTGAGCTGGGAAAAAGGCCATTTGTCTACCAAAATAGCAGTGATCCAAAACATTAAGTATGTCTACTCCTGGTGAGAAACTCTTTTAGGGGAGCAAAGTGAACCGCTGAATCCAGAGAAGGTTGAGAGATCTGCCATAGGAGACTGAGAAATTACTGATTTCACACCATGTGATTTCATTTTAGGGGGCCATTATCTCCAGTCTGCTGGCTAACAGCAGCTACGTGGTTCAGGTGGTGGCTATCTGCACCAATGGCCTCAAAGGACGATGGAGCGATCAGATTATAGTCGACATGCCGTTAGAAGACCCTGGTATGAGCTGACTTTCTAAGAGCTGCTTTCACCTGTTGCTCTACCAACATTCAGGAGTTTTTTTCTCATCGTTTGTCGTTCCAGAGAGCGATCAGCCCCCTGACACTGTAGCAAAGGAAGCTGAAAGTCACAGGGAGGTAGGACACTCTGCCAAACTCAATGCAACTGGTTGAATTCATGTATCTGTTCAAGTCTGCACTTCATTCAGTCTCATCCGCAGTTTAATTACTATGCTAATGAGTGCCATTATGTTGGCTAATGCTTAAGTCAGGTTTCAAAGGATGGTTCAGTAAACTGTTTCCTTCTCTGCAGGCTTTAGATGTAGCTATATTGAAGAGGCCAGAGAACAAGAATAACCTGGATTTGGCTTCTGAAGATGATATTCCAGAGGAGGAAATCCCAGCTGATCAGACAAGAGTTTACCAGATCCAACCTACCCAACACCAAAGACAGCCCACGGATCAAACAGAAGCAAACCAGCAAATTCCAGTCCAGACTGGTGAACAATTAACCCCAAAAACCCCATCTGAATCTGTGGATTTACAAAAGGCTGAACCGGATGAGAAAGTAGGAGAGAAAACCAAGAGTCCAAACAGGATGACCCCTCCAGGTCGCAGTCAGAACTGGATAGAGGATGATCAGCTGATCCCGGCAAACCCGCCTTTTACAAGACCAAACTTTGACAGCACCAGTGCAATTTGGGTTAACCGGATAACCGAGGAGCCAGGACTTCTGTTTCCGGTTGCTCGGACAACGATGGCACCACCGAATCGTCGGCATATGACAGAAGAGGCGTCGTTGTCGGTTCCACCTCAGGTATGTACTTTTTCTGATCATTGTTTGTTCTAAATGTTGAGATTACCCATAATGTGTTCTAATAATATACCATTTTCACCATATGTGGGTCTGTATCCACCACAGCCAACAGATCAAGACCTGTCAGAAAAAGAAGGCGAAAATACCCCCTCTAAGTTTGACCTGTCCACCCCTCCAATGAGGGACACCCAGGTCACAGATATCTTCTATGAAGACACAGTCACCAGCTCTCCACTGGAAATCACCAACTTCCCTCCTACAGTATCTGTTCCTGTGGTGCCCGGTGAGGCTTTATTTTGGCTTCCGCTGCTGTTCCCTCATATTTTATACCTTTTTTAGAGGAAGAGTTAAAAACTGGTCACTTTGGGGTTAAAGGTAAACAATGGATCATTATTGATGGATTATTTAACCAGTTTAAAGATAGTAGAGAGAAGGCAGACAAAATTTGATTCTGGCCAAAGCTACTTTTTCATCAAAATTATTAGTTTTTCAAAAATGTATCTATAGTCTAAAGCTGTGTGGAGTAACAGTATTATTTTCACTGAAATTTTGACAGGTTGAAAACATTTAAATATAACATGTTGGTTATGATGCCAATGTTATGACATAAAAGCATTCCCAATAAAACTGCAGGTTAAAGTCGCATAAGCTCTGTTAAAGGAGAAGTCCGGTCAGCAAGGAATAATCAATGGATCATTATTTAAACCTAAAACTGATACGTTTGCGGTGATTAGATTAATTTAGCGTTAATCGGTAAAAAAATAAAATTTTTGGTTGCGATCACCGAGTCTGTAAGCGGCCAATTTTGCTCAAATATAACATCTCACTCCTGACATCTTCTGGCATTGACGTCACGGTGCGGTAAGCCTAGCGCCATTCTTCCCGCTTTACAAGCAAAATCAATGGGAACTACTAGACACATCTGCAATCAACAAAGATTATTCAAGATTTCGAGAGCACTTCACCATTGAAATTCACGACAGCTATAGTTAAACTCACAATTTCAACGTGCATGGCAGTTGAATGTTGGAATACGTCAGATAAAAGTGATCATGTTTCATGATCCACGTATTCGTCGTTGGATTGCTAGTTTGAAGTCGGAGGATTTGCCCTCGAACGTCTGGCCAGAGTAATACACGTAATATGTAGCCAACATTTGGAAGAAGTATTTCTTAAAGATGACTTTGATAATAGTGCGTTGTGACAAACACCAGATACAGCACTGGGACTTGATCAACAGCCGATACCGCACCGTGACGTCACAAACCGGTAGGGGGCAGTAGTGTTCTCTGACAAACATGGATGTCTCCAGTAAAGCACATTCAAATGAAAATTACTCTTAATTAAAAACACTTATCGTTTATTAAACAGTATGTAATAATTTATGGAGCAAGTTTCACTCCATAAATCCTTGCTAGCACCTTTCTATAGTTTTTATGTTCTGCCTGCATGGCTTCTCTCTGGATATATGTTTTCTCCCACAGTTCAGAAACATGTATTTTTAGGTCAGTGGGTCGTTTAGGTTCGAGGTCCTTTATGGGTGGATGAGTGATGTGTTGGTAATGTGTCCAGGTCTCACCAGCCTCTACTTCATCTGCATGTTTCATTCCCAGGTACTGAAGTGCACAGAGACTCCCGAATAAACCCTGAAGATCGAGGATCTGGTGTAAACAAACCTCTTCGAAAACCCATCAGCTCATTTTCAGCCACGTCCAACTCGGAATGGATAACGGAGAATGTAGCGACAGCAGGAAACACCCTGTCCGACTCACTCTATAAATCCTTCACCACCTCGTCTTTGCTCAGAGGGCTGATGCACACCACTCAGCCCCTGTTCAATGGTAAGACAACGCACTAAGAACGCTCTACATTGGGGGAAACAAAATCACAGATTTCATTAAACGTTGATTTAAAAGCCTGAAAACTGATTTCACATTTTGGGGATTTTAATCAACAGCAGGGCTTTCCTGATGTTTAGAGTAGACAGCTGGGTGTAATTGTAATGGGTGCTTTCATTCCTTCTTTTATTGGGGCATTTAATCAGTGCTGTCTCTCATCAGTGGGCCATTTTGCGGAGGGACACGGTGGGATGGATTCCAGTCGTGGTCATAAGATGCTGATTGTGATTGGAGTAATAATCAGGGGCTTCCTCAGTCTCCAACATGGCTCTGAATTCAAATCTGCTTGACTCTTTGTTCAATCTTCCTGCACGTTTCTCGCAGAGGTCAGAGTTTTCTCCCTGATAACAATCTACTTGAACTCACTCAAGCTTGGTGATTAGCATCTATTTCTGGGGACTTGTTCTTTCTAGCATCTATTCTGTGGCTCAGCGGTGCCCTCTAGTGGGTTTCTTCCTGCTATCTTGACCTTCTTTTAAATCAGCAAAGCTGCAATTTCTTGGCTTGCTTCTAGAGGGAATATTAATAATCGGGCAGTTCTAGTTTTCGTTAAAACTGTTCAATAAGTATCATTAAAGGAAGGACACTCCTGTTTTGGCTTTTCTTGCAGCAAATACCCCAATATCCAGGTCTGAGGATTCAACGGCTGCTTCAGACTCCTCCAGCCATCTTACAGAGACAACCATAAAAGCCATGCTCTCTGTCCATGATGGATTCAGTTCAGCATCTTTACCCCTGAAAACTCTCCCTCAATCTACCAACACTTCCCATCTCATGTTCTCTGAGAAGAACTCATTAAACCCTTCGCCCCAGGATGGAGAAAAACAACAGATCTTTACTAGCTCGACTTATGACGATCCTCTTAATACCACTAACTCTGTTTTTTTACTCTCTAATAATCTATCCGCTATTGCCCAGCTATCGAAAGCAAACCAGCTTGAGGAAAACAGTTTAAACACCTCTCAGATTGACAGCAAGCAACAAGAAATTGCTGAATTCTTAGGGCAGTTAGATAAGAATGAAGATGGATCTAGTGCAGAAACAGATGGGGGTGATGTTTATGGTCATTTTAACATGTCTTTACTTGAATTAAGGGGTTTGGTTTTAACAGAGGAGAGTGGATCAGGCTCTGGTGATGACAGCAGCGGAGAATCTGATACTTTTTCCACATTTATAAGTTCAGCTTTGAGCTTAAGCACGGATGATACTCCAGGAAAGGGCATAGTGCCAGAAAGGACGATATCTGCTGCAAGAGATGAAGGCGGGATCAGTCGTAAAAGGTGTAAAGAGAAGAAAAATGAGATAAGTATTGAAGAAAATGAAGGCAAGGCCAAAGATGAACGGGAAATCAAGGTAGAGGGTGGGAGTGGGGCTGAAGATGGCAGTGGTTCTGGAGAACAAGCAGCTGTTATTGGAAACTTAAATCTAGAGCAGGTTGGTGGTGATCAGGAACCCTTCAAAGCTCGACCTGAAAACAAACAAACGTCTCAGAGAAATGGAAAACTCCAGCTAACAATCTACAGTCAGCTAACATCTAGGGAAACTGCACCTACACCAGACCAAGCACGATTTATGACCAGCGATGAGAATCCTTACGTTGGCGGTCATGAAGAGGACCGTGAAGGAGGATCTGGTTATGTTACTGAAGACGCTTTCTCAAACACAGCTGGTTCCCTTCATGCTGCAGAGAGCTCTGTGTCAGAGCTCGGATTCACTGACAACCCCCAAGGAAAACAGGAACAGACCGAAGGTAAACGGGACACAATGTTTGTCACTTTTTGGAGGAATGTCTTTGAAGGGCTTGTCAGCTGATGATCCCCTTTAAGCATTTCAAGTCACCAATCAGTTTTATTTGCAACCAGGAAGGGCTTAAGGCGTCAGTCACAACAGACTGACATATTCCTCTGGAGGTTATGAATGTCACTTCTACCCAAGGTACATTTTTTAGACTCCAAAAGTCAGATATCTGAGTAAAAATGGAATGTGCCGTCATTTAAGAAATCCTGAACAAATAAATTCATGCAATAAAAAGATAATAAAAAGGGAAAAATATTTGATGAGCCTGAAGCATCTACAAAGTTACATAACTTTTTATGCAGACGATATTCTGACTTTTCCTCTACTTGGACGTAGTTCTAAACCCATCTAATGTGCAACCTGAGAGCCGTAGCCCGTTCTTCTCTTTCAGAGGGCAGCAACAGCAGCCATGAGTCCCGGATCGGGTTGGTCGAAGGTGTGGAGAAGGACAAAAGGACGGTGGTCCCTCTGGCTGTTGTCTCCACTCTCACCGCTCTTTGTCTGCTGGTACTAGTGGGTATACTCATCTACTGGAGGTACACACACCTACAGACACACCTCTATCCATTCTTCATCATGGTAAACCATCTGTCTATGTAACATTTAATGTTTCTGGTTACAGAAACTGTTTCCAGACTGCTAACTTCTACCCGGATGACCCCGCATCACCTAAAGTCCTCTCCGTTCCCTCCACGCCCCTGCTGCTTGCTGCAGGTACACCAACCTGAGGTTTTCTCACTCTTTTGATATTAAAACTATACGCTGTGGCCTTGTTAAGCAGAGAGATGAACTCTGAACCTTGTTTTACAGATTGCCACGAGCCGCTGACTATAAAGCAGTTTGTCAAGCATGTCCTGGAGCTCCACAGCACCAACACCTTCTCCAAGGAGTTTGAGGTGCGTTGGTTTCCTCTGGCGTAGGAAAGAACGTACAGCGGATGACTTTTCATCCCTCCATAATGGGCCTCCGTGTTTCAAGTTTAACATAATGGGCTCTGGAATTTCATTTAACTCGTTTTTTAAATGAAAGACAAAAATAACTGGATGGCAGGTTCAGCAATCTCAGAGCTTGCTGCCCTCCAGACCAGATCTGATGCAGTGTAAGGTGATGTGTACGGCCTGCTGTAAGTGTTTCAACCAATGTCCAACTGACTTCTCAATGATTTCAGTAATCGATTAATATGTTTCTTCGATTAATCTAGGAAGAAATACTTTTAGTAAATTTACATTGTTATATAAACAACTAATTAAATTTTTTTATATATAAAACACAATCTATTTTATATTGCAAAGTTGTAATTAAAATGTTATACATATAAATGTATTTGATACATATAAACATATGTATACATTATATAAATATATATGTACACATTTAAATTTACATATATATGTATATTTATAAATCTAACTTTAAGTATAGGTTTTATATATGCGTGTGTGTGTGTGTGTGTGTGTGTATATATATATATATATATACAGAATATATTGAACGAAACTTGAATATTTTTAATGATTTCCTGAGAATATTGAATGAAATCTTGGAATATATGGAATGAAAGTTGCCCTGAGAGAATCATGGGTAATGTAGTTTCAAAACAAATGAATTAATTTGTGATAATTTAGAATCAATCATTAATTAACCTAATCGGTTTATAAATAAAAACATTGTTAAATAACATCCACTCAAAATCCCATTTTTTCCCTCACTGTAGTTTTAGGTGGTCTGATTTGGCAATTTAAGGTGGTCGTTTAAGTGACCAGACTTGAAGGTGTCTGCATTTCAGCCTTTGGAAATGGATAACAGACCAGGGCAACTAGAAGGAGTTGGGAAGAACAGGGTGGGGGGAGCAGAGAAGCTCAGACAGAAAGAGGACAGAGCTTAATGTGGAGCAGAGTACAGCCCCTGGAAATTGACAAAACTCCACATGGCGTTTATATCGCCATGCTGGCATGGTTAATTTCTCACACATGAACCTCTTACAAACATCCAGATATGATGTGTTCAATGCCTTACAAAACCTTCGACACATTTCACGGCCACTATTTGGGTTTTAGTAAATATCTATTGGAAAGAATTTATAGAACCAAAAAAGGCTTACATTTCCATTCAGCCCCCTTTACTGTGATGCTGCTACTTTTGTAAAATCCAATGCAATAACCAATGTAGTAACATCTCTTGATCAGTATTTACGACTGTTTAAACCAGGCCTTAAAAGAAATCCCAATTCTCATCTTTAAAGCACGGTGGTGGCACCATCATGCTGGGAATGTTAACACCACCTTTTTGCATCCTTTTTCCTTCCCAATCATGTTGCTACCCTGCTGAGGTTTTGCAGCTGTAACTCACTGTGAAAAGGTTTAAGCTGGATGATCTCCAGGCATTGTTTTGGTCTCCCATGTTCCCCTCCCATTATTGTTCCACTGTTTGTGCATCTACACCTCCCACGTTATCACGAGGTCCCAGCTCGTTCCACCCGCCTCGTAGATTACGACATCACTGCCCACTCAGAGCCTCCACTCTGACAATCTGAACCCTAAATTCCTGGACCTGCACTGACTCCCTCTCTGTGGTCTTGTCCCTCTGTCCCACTCTCCTCTCACCATCTCCACCACCATCGTCGTGCTTTCCGCATCCACCCTCCATTAGATTGTGAAAGAGTCGTTTGAGGTAAGACACCCTCCATCCCTCTGGTGCAGAGGGGTTTTTCTCTCAGAGCTGGCTCACTCTGGGTGTGCTGCACCATCTCTAGTCTGTTCTCATCACCCTTTATTTTGTTTTTTCCCCCCTCTGTTGTGCTTCAGGAGGTGCAGGCGTGTACAGTCGACATGGGCATCACTGCCGACAGCTCGAATCACCCCGACAACAAAAGCAAGAACCGCTACATTAACATACTGGCCTGTATGTGTCTGCTTAGTGTCATCACTGCACATATGGGTCATGCTTTAGCCTTCATGGCCTGTTTCTCCTTTTCCAGACGACCACAGCAGAGTGAAGCTCTCCAACAGTTTGGATAAAGATGGAAAATGTGGGGACTACATTAACGCTAACTACGTTGACGTGAGTTTTCTTCTTTTTCATTTCGGCATTTGTGGACACTGTGTTTTTATAACTTTTGTAAAATTTTAAATTTCCAACCATTCCCATGGTGTTGGAGAAAAAAAACTACATAAAATGCTTGGACGAAGTCTCTTTTTTGCAGAGCATTCTGATTCTTTTTTGAGTATTTACTATGGAAGATCCACAAAGAAAACTGTTGTTTTGCTTTTAAATGTTAAGCTGGAAAAGGTCTGTTTTTTTTTTTTAAGGGTTATGAGCGAACGAGGGCATACATCGCAGCTCAGGGCCCCCTGAAAGCAAGCAGAGAGGATTTCTGGAGGATGATCTGGCAGCAGAATGTTGGCGTTATTGTCATGATCACCAATCTGAAGGAGAAAGGACGCGTAAGATCAACACAAATGAAAATATTCGGTCCGACTCTCTGGATTTTTTAACTAGAATAAAAAAAATCTCTGCAGACAAAATGCGACCAGTATTGGCCAGAAGAGAACCAAGAGGAATACGGTTCCTACCAAGTGACTATGAGAAGCACCAAGACTCTAGCCTACTACACACTGCGGACGTTCTCAGTCAGGGACACAGCGAATAAGGTATTTTATATACACGCCTAAAAAAACAAGTTCTGCAATGTTTTAGTTTTGGATTAAGTTCATATCAGTTGCTTCTTCAGATGCCACAAAAGAAAGTTGAACACACAGTCCTGCATTTCCACTACACCCAGTGGCCAGACATGGGCGTCCCAGAGTACACCCTACCTGTGCTGTCCTTCATCAGAGCGTCGTCTCAGGCCCGAACGCAGGAGATGGGCCCCGTTCTGGTGCATTGCAGGTAGAACTGAAAACAATACCTAAAAGACAACACAGCTGTGACTCTGGCATCATCTTCCTATCCGTCTGTTGCAGCGCTGGTGTGGGAAGAACAGGAACCTACATTGTGATTGACAGCATGATGCAGCAAATTCAGGATCAGGGAACTGTGAATGTTTTGGGCTTCCTGAAACACGTCCGGACACAGAGGAACTTCCTGGTTCAGACGGAGGTAAAGGAGAAACAAGCATTCTTTTCAGGGAATCAAACCCTCAGCTTTAGCCGCTTTTGCACACTGGTATCTAGGGTGTGGAATGATGTCAGATTACTGATTCCATGTCCCCACTGTGACTATGTGGAAATTACATTTCAAAGGTCTATGAGTGCCCTAATAAAACAGATTAATAAAATTTTTATTGTCGATTTGAAAACACTTGAAAACAGCTTGCAGCGGCCCCAAAGTGATGTATAGTTTTCATAAAAGCATCAATCGATCACATTTGGATAAAACATAAAAAATAAAACAAAAATAAGAAAAAGCATGTGGTAACAAATTCAAATAAAAGTTTTTGGTGTTAAAGCGAGATTTTACTATTGTTAGAAGGTTAAGATTCTCATCTAGCATCAAACAACAATAAAAAAATGGAGTGACAGCGAGAGCCAGAAGTGGTTTCTGGCAGGCCAGTTTTGAAAAATGGGATATGCCAGTTGGGAACTGGTTTATGCTGGTAAACAACTGGCATAAACCAGTTTCCAACTAACATATGTCATATTTCACTTTTGGCTCTAGGTCGGAGGTCTTCAACAGGGGGTCTGCGACCCCTAGGGGGTCCACAGTGGTACTGCATTGGGGTCGCAAAAGTTTTGGTTGATTAAACTTTTTTTTATTCCCCCTGCAATTTTTTCCGCTAATTCAAATGTCTTTAAATCCACATTAACATGAATTCAACACACTGTAGTAAACCGATAAATGGAGGCAGAAGATGTCTTTTATCATCAATGCACACATTCAGTGACACACAGGAGTTTTATTTTGAATCAAGTGCAGAAAGTGTTGGTCCATCCATGATGTAATGCCCTTAAAACAGTTGGTTAAAGACTGTAGGGCAGGGGTGGGCAACTCCAGTCCCTGAAGGCCGGTTTCCTGCAACATTTAGATTCATCCTTGGTCCAACACACCTGAATCAAATGGTTGAATTACCTCCCTAGTATGCAATCAATTTCTCCAGAGTCATTTTAATTATCTATTTACTTGATTCAGGTGTGTTAAGTCAAGGATATATCTAAAAGTTGCAGGCCCACCAGGACTGGAGTTGCCCACCCCTGCTGTAGGGAATCATTCCTACTGATTAACTTCTTCAGGGGCGTACAGTATATATATTTGTGCTTCTTCTGTGAAGAGGTGAAAGGAGAAGTTAAAATTCTTTAAAATGTGTCCAAGAGGCAACAGGTACAATATAAAAAGAACAGTGCCTAGGATGGAACCCTGAGGGACTCCATAATTTGGGGATGCTGCAAGACAGGAGCAGAGATCGAGATAAACAAAAACACTTTTACCATTCAAATATGGTGATAACAACACAGTGCTGTTAAAATAAAAGTATTTCATTGTCTATGGTGTCAAATGCTGCGACGTGCAGCAGGCCTTCAGTTTTACTCACAGTTTCAAACATCCATCATGCTGAGGTTAGAGGATGTTTAATCGGTGGAGAAAGCACAGTTTAGTTTGAGGTTTAGTGATGTTATTGGATAATTTTTGTAATATTTGAGATGATCGGACAGTTTTTTGATGTGAAAGTATGTTTTACACATGGGGCCTGATCTGCAGAAGATTTGCATGTGTGTGTTTGCACGTATTTCTTCATCAATATGCAAATGTTATTCTAATGACTAAACCGTGGAAATGAAAGCAATCTTTGACAGGGTTTCCACGGGTCATTAAAAATCATTAAGTCATAAAATTATTATATTTTAAATTAAGGCCTTAATTGGCATTGCAATTCATTAGATGTGATTTTCATGGCATTTAAAAAGCTTTTAAAAATATATTTTAAAAAGTTTTTATAAAAACAATTTTGTCAGATGTATTATATTATTTGTGCTGAACTGCTTCCGGTTGATCATAAAGCCGTATGTTCTGAAAAGAAGCCTGAGGCGAAGAAAAAGCTAGAGAATAGGAAAATGCAAATTATATATATATATATATATGAGAGTGATTAAACCAAATTGGAATAAAATGACCAAATAGTTATTTTGGAATCTTGATCTTTGAAGATATGAACTGCAGCACATTTTTTATTTTTTTTTTTTGTAATGCAGAGTTGGATTGTTTGTTCTTATTTTCCAGGAGCAGTACGTTTTCATCCATGATGCTCTGGTGGAGGCCATCCTCAGCCGGGATACATCGGTCACCGCGGACCTTCTCCACGGTTACGTCTCTAATCTCCTCATTCCAAGCGCCACAGGGAGAACGCGCATGGACAAACAGTTTAAGGTGGAGCCTCCTTTTGGTTCTTATACTTTAATCTGATCAGGTTCTGAAGTGAATGTTTTTAAAGTTTCTTCTTTTTTTGTCTCAGCTGATTAGTCAGCGTCAGGCTAAGCATGCAGACTACAGCACTGCCCTGAAGGACGGCAACGCTGAGAGAAACAGAGCGAGAGCGCTGATGCCTGGTAAACAACAGCAGAGAACTGACTGACTGCAGGCAATCCTCTATGAAGGGAACTTTAGTACATTTTTGTTACAAGAAAAGAAATAGATTTGTAAATGGAAATAAAAAAAAAAAACTCAATTTAGAAATGAAACATCTTGATAAAAAAGGTTTTTATAGCCACATTGATGTTTGTTTTCAGCTTTTATTTTTCTAAATTCTTTATACAGATTTTGTATTTTCAAATGTTATTTTTCACATTTAATATTGAAATAAAGAAACAAAAATAAACAAACAAATTGGAAGTTCAACATTCCCTTTACTTCTGACACATGGATGTTAGTGACAAGATTTTTATATTCTGCTGGAAAGGAAGGAGAATATTATCTATAAAACTGAATCTGAAGAGAAATTAGGAAAAAAAAATTACAATATAGAATCTGTAAAAAAAAAAAAAAGAAGATTAAAAAAAATATTAGAAAAAGGAATTTTTTATAATGAAATGAAAGATAAAATCTTTTAAAGACCAGCAAAATTGCTCTTAAAGCTTATGGTTGTAATTTTTTCTTCTTTTTTTTTTTCAAAGTTTCAGTTCCTGATTGCATTTTGTGTTATTTACATTTACATAATGAGCTGTTTGCTTGCAAAAATAATGGAACAAAATTCACTCCATATAACCCCAAATATTCCAGGTCACTATTTTTCTACAGAAAGAATAACTCCAAAAGAATCTTCTGATTTCGGTACTAACATATTTTTTACGGGGTCACCAGCCTCTGACAAGTAGAACACAATTTAATTTCATGCCAGGTTGAAATTTTTGCACACTTTTGTGTCCTTACTAACTTTTTATTTTAAATTTCTTTTTCACATTTTATTCATTTATAATTTCTTTACAGATTTTACATTAAAAAAAATTATTTAACTTTTTAAGATTGAGTTTTGAATATGGATTGAATTCTTTTGAAATAGCATTTTCCAGCTCACATTCTGGAGTGAGGAATGAAGAAGCATTTCTATTGGTATGCTGACGTAAGCAACATTTGATTGTAATGCAATTTAAAAATGATGCAATTTGAAAAAACTCAATCTAAGACAATATACATGAAAAATAATATAAAATCTGAAAAAAATACATCTTGAAAAATAAAATCTGGAAAAAAAAACTACCAGTATGTAAAAAAATAATCTGGAATAACTTAATCTGAGAAAATAAACCTACTTTCAAATCCAATTCTGATGTCATTTTTGGGTTGCATGTTTTTATCTATTACTGTCTGCAAAGCATGTTTCTTTGTTGCTACAACAATAAATAAAATTCACTTAACATACATTTTTAAATAAACTATCTCCAGAATAGAGTTTGCAACTATTACAGTGGTTGAAGAGGTTAAACATTAACCCTAAAAATTAGTCTTTTATATTTTTATCATGAAGAAACAGAGTTTACTCTCATTTTGATCTTGATGTCTCTCTGCTTCTTTGCAGTTGAGAGATCGAGGGTTTCTCTGACGGCTTCAGACACCAACTCCACCGGCTACATCAATGCCTCCTATGTTATGGTGAGTTGCTTTTTACAGATATGTTAAACCCACTTTATGTAGTATTTATATAGAGGTGCGAAACCAGCTGAGTATGAAGCAATGGGATGTATTGGATTTAAAGGCTAAAAATTATTTTAGCAACAGAAAAGATTTCCTTCTGTTGCTTGACAGGCAGTTTTAATGCTGTCAGTCAAACTTTTCCCGTGATTCAGCCTTCCTGGAACTTACTTTGAAGTTTGGTTTCTCTTTCAGTCTGAATTAACTACAGTGGAGGACAAAAGTTTTCAAAAAGTGGTGTAAAAATTTATTTCGACCCCTTTTTTCTGACTGCAACCAATTGTGTTCAGTATTCAGCTGATAATTGCTATTAACTGTTAATAATCTATTCTGAGTACAAATACAGCTTGTTCTCAGAAGTTAGACAACTTTTATTGTCATTTTGTATACGCAGAGTGTACTGTACACGGAGTGTAGTGAGTCTAACTGACCGACTCACTTAACTGTGTTTAAAAAGGTATCTTTCAACATGAGGATTCTGGTGAAAAAAAAAAGTCTAATTTTTGTGGTTCATCATTAAAATGATCAAGAATTTTGGAGCAGCCTAAAAGGAATAACAACGTTTCAGCCGTTGTGTTTTTATTTTAATTTTCTTGGTGTGTTAATACTTTTCCTCTCAGTTATCACTCAACTTATCTGAATTGAAGTTAATTTAAAATTGACTCTTAGTTTATTTACTGTTTTTCCTGTACTTATTGTTTTAAAATTCACATTTTCACATTTCACCCTAAATTTTCACATTGTATGTTTACATTATTTATTGTCTTCATCTAAAAATATCAAAAATATTTTCAAATTAAACATAGATATGAAATATTACAATATAACCTACAATAATTTAAATTATTATACTAGGTTATCAAATCACTTCAATTTAGTCTTGCAAATAAGCTGCCTGCAATGTCTTTAAGTGTCCAGCAAGTGTCAGTATTCTGTGAGATAGCGTCAACACTTCAAGATGCCTCTTTAACCCATCACTACTCGGAGATATCGACTCTATTTCCTTTAACTTTGAATGATGTCCTGCTTTTTTAAAGCATTTTAAAGTCATCTATTTGTTTTTTTTTTTATATATATAATAAAGTTGTTTTCTGCTCATTTCAGTTCAAATCAAAGTGCAGATTATCTGCTAAAACTTTTATCCAGGATCATCATCTTGCCTTCCTTCTTATCAACTGTCCCTGATGGAGAAAAAGGGGCTTTTTTTTTTTTTTACAGTGCAGGCGCAGCGCGGTTAAGCTAGTTGCTTCCTGGGGGGGGGGCTTTTGTTTAATATGAATATTCTCCAACTCATTTTCAGCAGAAAGTCACAATAAATGCTGAGAAATTAATGGATAAAGCGAAACATAAGGAAGGAATAAAATTATAAAAAAGTACAAAAGCCTTTTAAAAAGTTGAATTAGCACGGTATAGGCCCTTTAAGTTTGACTTTTTTTCTGCTTAACATTTTGAACACATTCAAACATTGTTTCCACAGGGACACCACTGCTGTAGAGAGTTCATAGTGAGTCAGACTCCTCTGAGCAGCACAGTGGAAGATTTCTGGAGAATGATCTGGGAGCACAGCACCAACACGGTCGTCTGTCTGCAGGACTCACACAGTCAGGTAGAACCGCCTCCTTTCAGGATACTGTTGAAGTGAAGCCACATTTGCTCCCATGTTTGTTTGTTTTTTCACTTTTTTAGAATGAAAAGAGGGATTGCAGCGTCTACTGGCCCAGTAAAGACCTGCCGATGAGCTTTGATGGTTTCACCGTGTCGCACACAGGGGAGGAGCTTGTCCACCTGACCAACGATGAGAAACTTCTTGTGCAGGATTTTACGATGCAGTCTACTCAGGTGACCCACGCAACACAGTTTTCTTTATATATATTCCTGAGTTTGAGTCCTTGCCTAAAGATTTACCTTTTTACAAGCTTCTTTTGAGCTCTCCTGAATCAAAAAAAGATTGTTTCTGGGTTTCTTAAACTCTTTTCATGAATAAAATCATTTATTTTTGAGAAAAGCATGGAAAGAGGAGCAGGGTTTGCAGATGGAGAATGGCAGCTAGGAGGAGAGCTTATCTATAATCCTATCCATTTTAGGCACCAATTAATTCAAATTAAACTAGACTACTAGACTAAATTGTATAAAAAGTGTACAGAGGGCTCTCTAACTCATAGTTTCATCATTTCTGGTTTGAAAGTATGTATGAGTTCTGTTTAATCCCACATCCCTAAATAGTGTTGTTGAGGATATCCTTCCTTCTCTAGTTCCTCTATCTGACATACAATATGACTATAGTAAAAAAGATCATTTTAAAATTATGGATGTCTGAACTAATAACACAATTCAAAGTGTTGTTGTCTGAAATATCAAACATTTTGCAAGCAGAGATTTGTTACTCTTGATAAAGTTGGAATTTTCACTGAGCTCTGGCAATTTTTTCTGGACCATTTAGGAAAATACAGAACTGTTTTATAGCTGCTTTTCTAAATGCCATCTTTCTTTTTTTTTAACTCAATTTATCAGTTTTTATATATATATATATATATATATATATATACACTATATTGCCAAAAGTATTTGCTCACCCATCCAAATTATTGGAATCAGGTGTTCCAATCACTTCCATGGCCACAGGTGTATAAATTCAAGCACCTAGGCATGCAGACTGTTTTTACAAACATTTGTGAAAGAATGGGTCGCTCTCAGGAGCTCAGTGAATTCATACACCTGTGGCCATGGAAGTGATTGGAACAC